GGTACCTTTACACAATGGAATACTGTGCAACAGTAAAAAAGGAAACTTACCTTTTGTGAAAGCATGGAAGGACTTGGAGAATATTATGCTAAGTGAAATAAGCCAGTCAAAGAAAGACAAATACCATATGATCACACTTATATGTGGAATCTAATGAGTAAAATAAACTAATGAACAAAATAGAAACAGAAACATAGATACACAGAACAAACTGACAGATGTTGCGGGGTTAGGAGGACTGGATGAAAGAAGGTGAATGGATCAGCCAAAGAACATGTATGAGTATGCATGACCCATGGACATGAACAATGATATATGGATTGCCTGAGGATGGGAAGGTGGGGGCTGAGTGGAGATGGGCTAAGGGAGAAAAAGCAAGGAGAACTGTAATAGCATAAACAATAAAAGGCAAAAATGTGTTCAGCTGCCTCCAAATGAGTCTTGGAAGGCATTGTAGCCCCAATGTTTGAACTCTCTCTAGAATTTTTAAAGATAGTTTTTTACCTTTTATATCTTTGAATCCTCCTCTAAGTCCAGAGCAACAGGAAAACACTTCTGTGCAACTTACTATAAATGCTCATGAATAATAATGCCCAGCGGTTGAACTTACAGTGTGCCTGAAATCCACTGCCCCAGACTCACAGGCACAGAGAATAAACTGATAGTTGTCAGGGGCATGGCGGGTAGATGGATAGAAAAGATGAAGGGAATTAGAGGTACAAACTTCCCATTATAAAATAAACTAATCATGGGGATATAGTGCAGGGGGAATACAGCCACAAACATTTTAATAATTTTGTATGGTGACAGATGATTACTAGACTTATCACAGTGACCACATCGTAGGTATATAAATGTTGAATCTCTATGTCACACACCTGAAACTAACATATTGTATGTCAACTATAATTGTAAAATAATTAACCATCCAAATCAAATTGCATTGTGTGTGGTAGTAGTTGATTTTAGGAGACTGAGAACAAGCCACAGGAATCCAAGTTCCTCCCATCCCCTCAGAGGACCTGAATCCAATTTAAACAAGATAAAGACAGATTTTTGATGTAGCTAATCTTGAATCATCAACTGATACTTAGTGAAATCATCAAAAGACTAAAAATCCCACTGTTTGAGAAAAAGGATAAAAACATAAACTTTAGCAAGGTTGGCTAGAAAGCCCGTGTAATTGAGCTGTCTGTTTTGAAATGAACCCTAACAGGAAACCAGACTCCACCCCAAAACTAGGACTAGCCCCAGCGTTAATCCCTGCAGGCATGCAGCCACTTGACAAACTGCCACAGGTCCAATTCCTGTGTTTACTAGAGTCCAACCCCACAGGCCAGGCAAAGGCCACCTCCTCCGTGTGCTGTGTTAGCCTCTAATCCCAAACATTTATTTAGCTCTTACATTACCTTCTTATTTAACCCTCACGATAACATATCAAGGCACATACTATTTTATCCTCATTTTATAAGTCTGTTCTCAAGCATTTCTGGCTTGTGGAAAGGTTAATGCCAATCACTTATGCATCTGTCCTTTCTGGTTCTACCCAACAGTAGGAATGCAATGAATTCATAGGCAGACAGGGATCAAAGTTTTCATTTTCTTCACAGAGGCCTCATCACACCAAATACAGAATTCTTGAAAAGTACTGGATTAAAGAAAGTAATTTGGGATTGAAAAAAAGCAACAAGGCTTTCTACTTCCTCCTGCCAAATCTGAATCTTCGGACCAGCCACGGAGGTGTATTGGACCTGCAGTCAGACCTTTCACACACGTCTTCAGACAAGTGTGGTGGATTGGCGCCTGCCTCAAATAGCCAGTCATCTGCAGAAGAGCATGCTTCGGAAGCACAGGGCGGGAAATGGCTTCTAGAAAACAGGCACTGTGCCAGGTCTATTTACTTGACAGAGCCCACTGTCTCCTTCTAACAATCTGACTGGCAGAGAAAGAATCCTATTTCTTGCTTTTAAACATAATTTTCTCAAGCATATTTTTCAAACATAGCTATCCCACTGGCATCATTTGGAAAGGTTTAAAAAATTTCATTGACTTGGTCACACCCCACACCAACTAAATTAGAATCTCTAGGGCAAATGTATTTTTTTTAACATTCTTCATGCAGTTCCAATGTGTAGCCCAGGCTGAGAACTACAGCTTCATAGGTTTGACAGTCCCATCCCCTCTTAGCACAATCAGTCTTAACTAGCATTTTTTTTTGAGTGGCTACTTTAAGCTAATAAATTGACACAACCCTCATCACAGCTCTACGGGGCAGGTATGATAGCATTTCTCCGAGGGTAAGAGTGGGGCTGGGAATGGCTAAGTGACAGGCCTGGGACTGCAAACTTAGTATTCTGTCTCTAGGGCTGAATACTTAACCACCACACACTTTGTTGCTCTTTGTGGATGCTGATCCCAGCAACCTCTCCAATCAGGTAATACATTTCTTCTTTTGTAGAAAGGAGCAAGTGAGATTTGGAGGAACTGGAACAATTTATTCCAATACTCCCTCATTAAAGAGAGTGTGGAATTTAAGGAATAAAGTTATCTACTAGAGATTTTGGAAAATGTGTGGCAAGGAATAATACATCCACAGTCAGAAGTGATTAAAACTGCTAAGCAGCTGAAGTCAAATAACATAATCTATTTCCCAGAATCACTTTTAGTTCTGAACAGCCATCTTTGATACCTTGAGGCTGAAGAAAACTGGGAAGACAAGGCTAAGGACTATGAAGAAAGGCGCCAAGAGAAACATGGGAATAAAAGAATCAAAGCCCCTTGTGAACATACCAATGATAATACAAGCTGAGTAAAGAAAACCAAGAAAAGAAGCCTAAAAAACTGGGACTGAACGGTTCTGCAGGAGAGGTAAGGTCATGTTCACATTCTGAGACACTGAGTCAGAAGGTGAAAGATGTGCCCTGACCAGTATGGCTCAGTTGGTTGGGCATCATCCAGCAAAGTGAAAGGTTGCCAGTTGGATTCAGGTCAGGGCACATACCTAGGCTGCAGGTTCAGTCCCCAGTTGGGGTGTGTGCAAGAGGCAATTTATGGGAAGTTTCTCTCCTTCCCTTCCTTTCTCTCAAAACTTAAACATAATTTTGAATAAAAAGGATGAAAGGTGATGCATTACCCAAAAACTCAGATATTTTAAAAGATGGAAACAGAGAACTATCTTCCTCTTTGTACTTCATATTTTTATAAACTCTGCAAATATAGATAGGTAGATAGAATCTTTATAAAGTTTGCTGAAAGTATGTCAATGTTAATGTCAAATAATGTATTAATTTTGCTAACAAAAATGTTAGCACTAAAGAGGATTTAAATAACTATTACAGCAACTTCTATATAGCAAATAATCATTCTAATTTATTCTTTTTGCAATTTAGAATTTTCACATAATGAATTTGCAGGCTATTGGCATGTCATTTGATCCCAGGGGAAAAAAATGTATATCATTACATTGTGTTGAACACCAAATGTACAGCAGACTAAAGAATTCCTATCTATAGATATTCTTCCTTGTTTTAATTTTTTCAAGGTATGAATCATTATTTCCTAATAAGTACAGGTCTGAAAGGAGGACAAATGACTCCACCCATCTGTGCCAGGCAAAGCTGCATCCAGCTTGTGAAATAATTTGCATCTTCAGAACTGCACCCATTACCTGCTCCTTTAGCTGTGGGAAACTTTAGCAGGTGTTGCAGCTAGGAAATCAGGTTAATTCAACAGATTGTTTTCATTTCTGATGAAAGCCAATATGAGGGTTAAATTTAAAAATGCCTTCACACTAGGTACTTTATAGTCAACTGAAGATGACTGAATCTAGTAAGTTTTAACTGCTAGTCTACAATTTAATATCATCTTTGGAATAGAAGAGCAAACTCTAAATTGATTTATTGTGTGGTCTTCTCATTCGCACTTGTGCGACTAAATCTGTTCACCTGTGACTTTTGAAGTCTGTCCTTCCCCCAGGGCACGCGTGCACGCGCACGCGAGCACACACACACACACACACCAGGGCACGCGTGCACGCGCACACACACACACACACACACACACACACACAGAGCAGGTGGAACTTTAACACATTGCTATTAAATTTGTGAGACTCTGGTGTATCGGGACACAGACACTAGGCTTGGTTAATTGAACAAATAAATTCTTCCAGAATTATTGTGCCTTTTTTATGGTATGTTAACTTTTACTGTTTTTATGGCTATCTTTAAGAAATTTGGAAATGAGTATTTTGCAAAAAAGGATATAGCAGATATTCATATCATTTACTCATGAGGTTAGGAACCGTAAAGTTAAGATTTTTAAAACAGGCTTCTTACATTGCCATAAAGTTCATGTTCTGAATAATCTGAAAATTCATTTTTCACTTTGGAGTTACTTTCAAAGATTAGCTGAAAGGGGATTAATAGGACTCTACTTGCCACTCATTTTATGTATTAGTTTAAAAATGGTTAAATATAAGTAATTCATATGATTCTACCTCTTTAGAGTTATGAGAAAGCTGAAAAACCAGTTTTCACATCAAATAAAGCACAGCCCTATGTAATCCAAAGAAAAATGTCTACACAGGAGAGGATGACCTCAGCTGCACTGCAATGTGCGTAAAATACCAACCACAACACATACTTAGCATCAGGGCTTATGGTACCAGCTTCCCATATGAAAGGATGCTACTGGTGAGGCTATACCACAAAGCCCAATTCCGACTGCAGTTACAGTCACAGGCAGCTCTGGAGTGATAAGAGGCAGGGACCACTGTTTAAAATAAGTCCCAATACAAAAAGACCCTGTTCAATAATTTTAAAATCCCATTCCCAAAAGTGTTTTGTGTTTGTTCGCTTAGCTTTTCTCCTGTCTACCTTCCACAGAAGGTGCTGAAGGGAAGCGAAACGTTAAGAGTTAGAGAGAAAACTGAGTAGCCAGCCATTTCACAGGCAATAATCAGTTGCAGAGCAATACTAGCTTTGTTGGAAGTCAAAAGCTCACTTATTATTTCTTTAATATAGAACACAAATATCCACAGCCATGAAGTGAATTTATGAGAAAATAGCCACATTAAGTATGAGAGAGATCACAAAACTACTTTGAAAACATAATTTAAAACTCTGAAACATAAGCGATAAAGAGTCTCTTATTTTCTAATGGGTGCAAGAGGTTACCACATTTCCGGGAAGATAAAATCGATACCCAAACTCTAGACATAAAGATACACCTATAAAGCGACAGTGCATTTCCACAGAGAACCACAGAGATACTCATTCAGATTCTTGTACTTTTTTATGCTAAGGTATTGAAATTTAAATCAACTGAGTCTCTTCTCATTTTTTATTTTATTTTTATAAAAGATTTAGTGTATTGTAAGAAATTACTAAATTACATTTTAAAAACTCTGTCAAGTGCTACAGTAATGAAATAAATAAATAAATTTTAAAAAAGCTCAATGTTTATAGACATTTATCAAAAAAATGACTGAATCAGAAGACATTAAATAATGTTGATTCACACCAGGAAGGGATTAGGCAAGGAAAGGCACATCATTTCACCACAAGAAATAAAGACCACAGTGAGAAGTTAACGACCATCCTAACTGTAGTAGTCTTCCTAACTCCAGAGGGTCTTTGTGGTGGACCATTCTTTATGGTATGCAGCTGAAATAAAGATAGCAGTTGGAAAATTGTACTCAGTGACCCCCATGTAATATTAAAAAGAAAGCACTCTTTGAATAAGCCTGGTGTGTTAAGGGGGAAGGAACAAAAATCCAAAATGGTTTGGTGGTACTGAAAATCCTACTGACTTATTAAGGGGAGTTTAAAAAACAAAATAAAATAAGGTTAATCTTGTTGTCTGGCTGCACTGGAATTCCTGCGGTTACAAAGCTAAAATTTCGAGTAAATACTGTTTTTCACTTTCTTTCTTGTAGACAGATATGGTGTAGATAAACAGCTGCCATATTTCATCTCAGTGACACTGTATGACAATATGTAGGGAAAAGGATTCTAGGTAATTTCCCTATTTTATGACCTTAAGTCTTTGAAAGCAGCACTAATACTTCTGGCTGACTGGCTTTCTATAACAGCAAAATGAACATAAGTTTTGAAAATGATGAGGTTTCCCAATAAAAATTAAATTTCCAGGTGAGTGAATACAATTAATCACTTTACTGAAAAGTCTGACAGACATCAGCAGAACTTGGTCTGGGTCAACTCCCCACTACCGGTTTCCTTTAACAAACTTGTGCCAAGTTCTCACCCACCTCCTTCTGTCTGGACTCAGACCCTAGATCAGTTTGTTTGAAATATGGAATCACTCCAAATAATGCATATAAATTTTAGTGTTTTTAAAAACTATATGAATAAATAAAGTGGATTTTCAAGATAAAAAATCAGCAAAAAAAAAAGTTAAATTAAAAACAGTTGGGAGGGGGAGACAAAGGAAAGTATTACTCTTAAAAAAGAATAAAAATGGCAATTGTAAAGCAGTTAGCCTCCCCCTCATGCCACACGATATGCCTTCATTAAGGTGTACTCTTTCCGGTTGGTGTGAGCTGCCCAGATGAAGAGGGCAGAAGCCATGAACTGTAAGGGAGCTGAGACGCAGGCCAGGCAGAAGGACCATCCAAATTCCCCGGACACATTCTCAGGCAGCTTCAGTTTCTGGTGGAGGAGTTCAATTCCAGCAACATAACAACTCACTGAGCCCAGTGTGCACAGACCTTGGAGAAAAATTTAGAAAACAAAACACAGGTAGATAAGAGGACCGTAAGTGTTCTTCAGGCAATGTGACAGGGCAGAAATCACAAATGTGTAAGAATTACAACTCTTTGGTCTAGGGAGACAGAAGGAGGATAAAATGTTAAATATGATGACAAGACCCACCTGCAAGGAGATGGAGAATGCCCGTGGCAATGGTGGGGTACAAGCTTCGGCAGACACAAGCACAGAGTCCAATCAAAGCCCCAAAGCACATCAAACCTAGACTCACAAAAGGTAACAGGAACTGGCAACGCCAAAGATCTGATTTTTAAAAAGAGAGAATAAAATTGTTACCATAATTCCAGACACATTTTCCACATAGCAATTTCTTCATATTCTAATTAGATCTTTTCTCAAAAGTGAGAAAGGAATATTGAGGATTCTTTCTAAAGTACACTGTTCAAAAGAATGTTAACTGTGTCCTGATACAAGCAAAAGGACACTAATAGCAGTTAACAATTACTGATTTCAGCAGGACAGGGCTTACTACATGCCAGGCTCGGCTCTACAGATGCTTTGTGTATCAATCCTCCCAGCATCCCTATGAAGCAGTACAGGCAGTATTTGAAGCACAATGCTCTGGCTCTACATACACACAAATCTAAGTCCTTATAGGATCCATGGCAGGAGTAACAAGTCAATGAATGGCAATGATAAAAAGCCTGCTGAAAGATATATAAAGTACAAAGTACAGGTGCTGGTATATACTTGGCACTCAATAAATGGCAGTATTAATTATCATAAATTCCTTCAAACATATGGGAAGAAAGTCAATGACTTTACAAAGCATCCAATTCCATTTTTAAATTATTTTAATTATTAGCAATGTATTACTATCAACTCCAAACCAAATCTACCCTTTAATGCTTAGTTTTACTTCTAGAACTACATAAAAGTCTTTTCTCTGACTTTCCTTCAAAATGTTAGTATAAATAAACTTCTTACTGTGTATTTGCAACACAAAATTGAATACTTGCCATTAAACCAATGTTTCATCTCATGACATGATCCTTCTTCCAGGAAAGCTCTAGTACGTCTCTGTCGATTGGAAACTAGGTCCAAATCTGAAGACAGTACATCCTGGGTAGCCTGACCCTCAAGGAATAGAATGTTCCTAGAAATGTTTTCATTTATTTTTGACACCTACACTTTTGTTACCACTTAAGCCTGGATTAACACTCGTGGCAGGCCTGACATGCAACTGAGTCATACAGAGCTTGTAGTCAACTGTTTTCACACATTCCTATTTGCACTCAGGTAACTGAAGTGTTTAACTTAAATATGGGAATTTATTATTTATCCCTATTAAACTTCTTTAAATGGGCTCACTAGTAACACCTTTTGAAGGGTCTGAATTTTGTCATCCAATGTGTTACTGTGCCTCTTTTAATTTCATATTTGCAATTTGGTAAGTGTGTATCTAACTTCTCAAATATGTTATCAACAGATCAATACTGTTAGAGATCACACTTCAAGTTGACACAATGTACTAACTCATCTTGTTCCAAAATCAGAGTTCAAAAAAAAGAGCAAAATTATTTCCTATTTCCCCTGCTTACTGTCCTGCTGATAACAAAGTACTCACAGGTCCGAAGAAGATCAATCCCAGCATTTTGATCTCCAGGAACAACAAACTTCTCCATGAACTGCTCACTTAGTGTGAAACTCATGCATCTTGTGACCACATCAAATGACTCTGGACAGGAATAACAATGATTATTTGCTGTTTTAATTATAAGCATTTAACAAAAATCTCTTTTGGGTAATTAAAAAAGTGACACAAACATTCCCAGAGGAGACAGCAACCTCTTTGGTCCTGATATATAAAATCAATGCCCAATAGGTGCCAGTGGTTCTCAGTGGCAGACTTAAAACATGGGCACAAGAAACGGGGGGGAGAAGGAGGCGAGGAGTAGGAGCAGTAAAATGAATGGAATAGATGTGTAAGACTAGGAAAGAGTAGGAGGGGATAAAAACTGATATAAATAGGAACTTTGATCTTCTTCCCTAACCTACTCCACCAGCCATCTTCCCCACCTCAGGTAATGGCAATTCTACCTTCCAGTTCCTCAGCCTGGAAACTTCAGTCATTCTTGCCCATATGTATTCCATCAGGAAATCCTAGAACAGGGTGTCAAACTCATTTTCACCAGGGGCCACATCAGCCTCCTGGTTGCCTTCAAAGGGCCAAATGTAATTTTAGAACTGTATAAATGTAACTATTCCTTAACAGTTAAGCGAGAGCTCAGTGCTGCGGCCAGGTAGAAACAAGGTGCCGGGCCAGATTCGGCCTTCAAAATATATCTAGAACCTGGCCACTGCTCAGTATTACCACCATGGTCTGAGTCACATTCATTTCTCACCTAAATTAGTGCAAAAGCTTCCTAACTAGTCTCCTGGCTTCCACTAATGCCTGACACCTGTATTCAACATACCAGCCTAGGTGACCAGATCAGCTTAACCCCACCCCCACAATGGATCCATCACATTCAGAGTAAAAACTAAAGTCCTCATCATGCCTACAGAGCCCTGCATGAGTTGCCTCACTCCCACTCCCAGAGTACACATCTCTGACAGAATCCCCACTCTCCCTCCATTCCAACCCAGTGGTTTCTTTATTGGACCTTGACTATTTTAGGCATGATCCCAACATAAGGCCTTTGCAGTAGTTCTTCCTTCCAACCGTATGATTCCCTCTGCCTCCACAATTACCTATTAGGCCAACATCTTCACATGTATCAAGTCTTGACTCCAGTGGTAACTTCCTGTTGGAGCCTATTCTGCCTATACTACCAAATATCATAACTTATGCCCACCAACATCATATGTATTTCCTATTTTGATGTATTTTTTTCATAACACGTCATCTTCTAATATACTATATAATTATGTATTGTATATACTGTTATGTTTATTGCCTGTTACCCTTTATTAGAATGTAAGTAGCTATCTCAGAAATAAGAATTTTTATTTTTACTTTCTCTGATGTGTTCCAAGCTACTAGGCCCTAGAACATAACATACAATAAATATTTGTTAAATGAAGAGTAAGCAGTTGCTAAGACTCAAATATTAAGTACTCCTCCATTCTCATAAATAAACCTAAACATCTTACAATAAACTTTAACCAACTTTCCCCTCTTCCAAACTATTTTCTTTTTTCCATTTGAGTCAAAACTACTATTCTTTTGATGTATGGCAACTCAAGACTGTGAGCTGTGAGAAGTAGTAACAAATAATAACAAAATGTAAGGTTGTTCCTTACAGAGAGTTCTAAAGTTTCCATTTTAATAACTGGAAATTAAAATTTTTAAATGTTAAGAATGCTTGCAAAATAAACCTGAGAGACAATTTCTACTAAAACACAGTTAACACATAAAAGAACTATCAATTCATATTTGTTGACTTGATTTTGGATACTAGTCCTTTTCACCAGTTACCAAGTATTTAAAATCTTCCAATATACTTTTCCAATTATATCCTCATCACGTGTGACATTACTAAAAAAGGCTTTCAACAAACAGGTAAATAAGTACAGAGATTTTAAATGTCTTCCCATGATAAAGAGGACAGTTACTCCTCCAGCCAATATTTATGAGTACAACGGTAAGCCATGGAAGGCAGAGGGGAGAGAAGATGCTATGGAAAGAAGAGACATGTAAGATTTATTTCTCTGAGGGCAGAAAGAACTCACAAACCTGCTTCAACATAATTAGGCCATCATTGTAACACTTTGTCTACTGTTGAATAGGTAAAGGAGACAGAGTTAGAAAGAGAAATACCTGTCCTTTCTTGGTTATTCCAGTCTACATTTTGGGGTACAGTGATACACCGTCTCCACAATCCCACTGTGCCATTATATCGAAAAAGTACTTCATTATAAGTCTTTTCATCTGCCTCATCGCTAGCGAAGTTGACCCAGATGCTTTTGTTCAAATCACTGGAATTTTCTTGAACTGGACTTCGATATTCATACCAGAAGTCTGTGCCAATTGAGGCTGCCATGTAGATGGTGGAGATGAGGCTAAGCACACAAGCTATTACAAATGCTGTAGCAAAACGGTTATCCATTCTGGCATTCAGACTGCTCTGTATAAAAATTGAAGAAAAGTTAGACTCAGTCAAGGACAAAGATTATTTTGAAAGAAATTAGTCACCTGTTAGTCCCCATTCTTTGGCTATTTAAAGTAATGTCTAATCATTAAGTTTTTTAATAGTTTGCTTTTAATTAAGTTCAAAAGAAAAGTCATTATCATATAAGTACTTATTGAAGGTTCACATACCCAGGATGCTACGGAGACAGAGGTCTTGTTCTCTAGTCTATCACCTGCACACTAAAACAGACAACACTGAAAAGGACATACACATTACAGATACAAACAACAGACAAGCCCAGAGTCAGCAATGTACCATGCATAAATTTTTAATTACAGAGGGAGTTTTCATACAAGCTGCAGAGCATTAAGACTTCTGGGTTTGAGTGTGAAAAAGGCACAGGAAAAGGAAGCAGAGGAAATTCACTCCTCCCAGTCTACTCTGAAGAGGGAAACCCCAAATCAAGGTTTAGAGTCTGGAAGACTGAGTTCAAGATATTTGTGAACTCAAAGAGTTGTTGCTGGTTCACAGAATAGCAAGGAGAACACAACAACACATAATGTTGGATGCCAATCTGCCCCTAATCCAGTAAAGCTAAGCCAAGCTCCTTTACATTGTCAAATTCTTCCCTCCTACCAACTCCCCATTCCTTATAATTTTGAACCTCCTCATCTGCAAACTAAATACTGTCACCTCAACCTTAAAGAAAACTTTGAATTAAACAAAATATGAACACTCCCAAGGCGTGGACACGGGCTCAGTGGCAGTAGTAAAAGGCCGCAATAAAATGACTCAAGGCGTATCCAGCTGAGTCAAATACTGCAAATATGTACCATGAGCGCACCAAACACCTTACAAAGCAGTAAGAAAACAGGCTCGCGAACTAGGGTTACAGAGTTTGGAAGACGGGGAGTGATTCCAGAGAGCTCAGGGCAATTACACTAATTAACGACAGCTCTCTAAGTTGGGTTTGGATTTTTATTCTTTTTAACCCTCTTTCAGCCTGGTGCTCTCAAATGACCTTAAGAGGTCCCGGCCTCCTTGGGAACGGCGGTTCTCCCAAGTCAGACCATCTGGCGCAGTCACCCCGCGAGGCGCACGAGGCGGCAGAGGGAGGCGGACGCCGTCGGTAGGAGCTAGGGCGGGGAAGCCCGGCGCTGCCCCCGGCCCGGGGCCCCAGGGACCCGACCAGGCCCCTCCCCAGGCCACTGGGCCGAGGGACGACCCCACCGTAACCTCGCCGCTGGGACCAGCCCACCGCAGCCACGCACCAGCAGGAGACCCTTCCCTAAACCGCTGGGAACGTCCAACGGCTACGCGACCCCCGCCCAGCGTCGCTGGTCCCTCTCACTCACCGCCCATCCTCCTACACCGCCAGCTTCACCCTCAAGCTCAGACCACAGCGCCCTACTCTCCCTGCACCTCCTCTGACGCACTTCCCTGCAGATCCCGCCCCCTCCATAACTCCCTCGCCTCCGCCTCCACCCCAGGCCTGGCCACTGCCTGGGGCCGAGGGGGCTTGTGGGAGTTGTAGGAGCCACAGAGGGGAAGCTGAGGGAGCAGGCGGAAGGCATTCCTGGCGCCGCGCGGCGCCTTGCGGGGGTTGTAGTTCAGCTCCAGAGGGAAAGCAAGCACGCTTAAGGGAGGCACGGGCTGATGGATTCTTACTTTTTAGAAAGGAAGGGACTGGTGGGCCATAGATTAGGGCGAATTGTCTCCGGTCACCGCTGGTCATTGATTGTGATCTTTGTAACTCGAGCTTTACAGTTTGAAAGAGGAAGACCCTACCTCAATTCAAAGAAAAGGAAACTGAGCTCAGGGTGAATAACTGACTTATCAAACTTTGCTATTGGGGAGAGCTGACTTATGACATTAGACAATTTACTTAACTTCTTTAAGTTTCAGCTTTATTTTATCCAAAATATGGATGTTGATATTAGCCCCTGTTCCAAGTGGTCATTGTGAGGATTAAATGAGAAAAAAAAAAAAAAACATATTAAATGCCCAGCACAGGGCCTGAGGTATAGTAAACAATTATTAAATTGTTAGTATTTGAAAATATTTGTTGACTATCTAAAATATTTAAGGAGGGTCAGTTATTAAAAGCTCCTGATTCTTCTGGAGGGTGGAAATAAGGCATTTATAGAGGTAGGTGTCTCTGCTCACTTCAGGTTTTACGAACCTGTGGACTAACCTGCGAAATGACAAGGAAAGACTTACCTGGATCAGATCTCAGGCATCCTCGTTTACCTCTGCTCAAGCATGCATAAGTCTTCATGATTTGGGATGCCTGTTTCCTGGGAGACCTGCAAAGAAGGGTGTTGCTTTCATCCATCAAGTCTGTGGAATGCCTAGAAAGCACGCAAGACACATTTCACTCACCAAATTAGTATGGACCTAGAAGTGTCTGCACGTTTGAAGCACTGACCATCCTACCTACTCAGCACAGAGGACTTGCCCTGCCTCATCACATGCAGTATCACCAAACACACAACCTTATGTCTGATTTATCTCTGCATCTTGGATGTTTTCTATTTTCTCTTTGTACTTGCTTGTTGTATGGGTAGGCAATAGAAATCCTTAATATTTAAAATAATGGAGTTAAATTTCTGCTTCCATTTGTTAATCTGCTGTTTGGGGAACTGTAGCTGGCCTGAAGTGTTTTCACAAAATGTTAAAGATAACTTATGCAACCACGTACAGATTATGCAACTTGTATTTAAAAGCAAAACTGAACTAGACCTCTGGCTTAATTTGTTAGGGATGGTTCTAGTTTCAGCGGAAAGATGTTACAATCACATTACAGTTTAAATAAACCAATCACTGAAGATCTAGTTATGTAGCTATTATGTACTTAACAAAAGAACTCTTCAAATGAGATTTTCCTTCCATAACAAATTTCCTAATCTACTTAAATATTATTTTTAATTGCACATTTTAGGAACTAGAAATTATGTCAAGCAATATATATCTACATTATGTTTTTCTCATATAATTTTATTGTGGGAGTTTTCCTTGTGAACCTAGGAGTGCAGAAAGGAGAACAATAGAACTATATGCAAGCTCTGGGTTCTAATCAACAATCACCCTTAAAAAATAATATCATTTAAAAAATGTTCTTGTTTCAGTTCACTGGAGAACAATAAGAAAATTAGCCAGAAGAACAAGGCAAATAGAAAAGTATATATAAAATGGCTCTTTCCTCAAGATGGTGGTGGCATAGGAAAATGCTGGGCTCACCTCCTCCCATAACCACACCAAAATTACAATGAACTACAGAACTACCACCCTTGAGAATCACCTGAAATATAGCTGAACAGAATTCCTACAAGTAAGGATATAAAGAAGCCATTGGGAGACTCGTGGAAGGGGGTGGAAGGAGAACCAACTGGTCCTGTTATGGACAGGGAGAGAGACCCAAGTCAAGAGGATCCCTCCCCTGCTTTGGTTCTTGTTTTGCTCAAAAGACACAAATTCAAGTAAGAGACAAATAAGTATAGTGGAAATGAGATAGCAAGTTTATTTATGAAACACACGAGCACAAAGCTGCAAGCAGGCACCCAGTGGTCTAAATGCCCAGCGTATAGAGAAAATCAAGTTGTTAGTTAAGTTAGTGAGTTTGTTCTCTACACTTGAGCCGAGGCTACAAGTGGGTACTTAGTTGATCTAAGTACACTGATTATTGGGGCTTAGGGGTTATAGACCTTAGTCAGCTTTTAGGTTCCCCCATTCTCTCCCCCTTCTAAATCTTGGGAATAATGTACAGCTACAAAGGCTTTCTTCCTCAGTTAGCAAAGTCTCTTTTTCTTAGTGAAATCATTAGAGACTTTCTTCCCCAGCATAGAATCTCAAGGACTATACCCTTTCTCCTTGCTATATTCCTGCTTGCAATGTTCAGAACCCCTGGCAATGTTATCAAGCCAAGCTCAGCACTGCTCAGTTAATTGGTGAGACTTGTCTTTTGCTTCTAGCCTCTTATAGTAAGTTCTCTGCTAGATTGTCATGGCAAGGGCTCTGCCTTTATTCCCCCTTTGGCCACTCATTCCTAGCTGCTACTTAATTGTCCCACACCCACGTGTGGAGATTAAAATTCGAGAGTGATATCTTGGCTTTGGAGGCCTACACTAAAAAGCGAGGGCTCCCAGCCCCATACCAGTCCCCCAAGCCCAGGGTTCTAGTGCCAAAAAAGGAAGTTGCCAAACTTCTGGCTGTAAAAACCAGTGGGTACAGTGGCTGAGTGAGAACAAGTGCTTCTGGAGTCCCAGGCAGTTCCTCTTAAAAGGGCATACATACTGATTTACTGGCTGAGGTACTCACTTGCTCTGAGCTCCAGTACTGGGGCAACTGCTGGAAAAGCACAGGGTCATATGGGGAGAAACTAAATTGTCTGGCTTTGAGCTGGGGGCTGGAGGGGAAGTTTTCTCCCAGATAGAAATACAAGAAGGTGCCATTTTTCCTTGGTTGAGGACTGTCCCTCCCCAGCTTGCAGACATAGGCAGGTGCCATATCTGAGTCTCCATCAACCTGGCTAACACCATTCCCCCACCCTGGTGATTCCCTGAGGCCCCATGCCACCCAACTTTCAGGTCACCCAAGCCACTTCCAATGGCTCTTCCATACAAATGGCCTATCTTGGCTCATACTATGGACTTTCCTAAAAGATATTTTGTGCAAATAGAAACAAACAAAAAAACCTGAGGTAACAATACTTATATCAAACAAGATAGACTTTAAAGCAAAGTCTATAATAAGACAAAAAAGACCCAGCAATTCCACTTCTGGGTATCTACCTGAAGAAACCCAAAACACCAATCTGAAAGATACATGCGCCCCTATGTTCTTTGCAGCATTATTTACAAGAGCCAACATATGGAAGCAACCTAAGTGTCCATCAATGGATATGAATGGATAAAGAGGGAGTGGTATGGATATACAATGGAATATTATTCAGCTATAAAAAGGAATGAAATTGCCTTAGGTGGTGTGGCTCAGATGGTTGGGTGTCATCCCACAAAGCAAAAGGTCATTGGTTTGATTCCAGGTCAGGGTACATGCCAAGGTTACAGGTTCAGTCCCTGGTTGGGGTGTATACAAGAGACAACCAATCGATGTATCTCTCTTGCTCTTTCCCTTTCCCATCCCCTTTCTCTAAAAGTAAATAAATTTTTTAAATTCTTTTGAAAAGATTGAAATCTTACCATTTGTAACAATATGGATAGACCTAGAGGATAGTATGCTAAGTGAAATGTCAGGCAGAGAAAAAGAAGTACCATGTAATTTCACTTATATGTGGAGTCCAAAACAAACAAACAAAACGGAAACAAACTAATTGGTAGAGAGAACAAACCGATGGCTGATCACCGGGGGTTTGGGGAGTTGGATGAAAATGGTGAAGGAATTAAGAAGCACAAATTATGGAGCATTTAAGATCTTGCTCCCCAGCATATGTCATCAATTTGGATGAAATAAACTCATAATTTTTTAAGAAGTGCAAATTGCCAGTTATAAAGTTAGTCATGAGGATATAAAGTACATCATAGGGAATACAGTCAATAATATTATAATAATTATGTATTGTGTCAGATGGTACATACTATGGTAATCACTTTGAAAGGTATAGAAATGTCTAATCATTATATTGTATACCTGATGCCAGTATAATATTGTATGCCAACTGCAATTGAAAAATTTAAAAAGTTTGATAAATAAAAGGCTCTTTCCTTTTAACAATTCCCATCAAATGCTACACAGAGTAACAAACTATAGTTGTTTAGATGTCCATGCTTCTGAAGGACAGTGAATGGACCATATGTACATGGGAAGTTTACATTTAAATTGTCCTTTATTTTAAAATCATCATTTGAGTCTTTGGTAAATGACCTCTTGCGGGGCCCCACCGTTCTCATGGTATAATGTTTGTACTGGATGACTACTAATATCACCTGAAGCTCTAAAATTTTTGGTTCATAATTCTGCTGGAAGAAGAATAACGTAACTCTAAAATATGGTTGTCATATAGATCCACAGCATTAAAGTTTCCTGGGGAATTCATGCATCCTTCAGTCTAGGCAATGCACAAAAGACAGAGATAATGGGAAATGCAGATCACACAAGGAAAAGGAGGAATGCATTCTGATTTAAAAAGATACAGCAATACAAACTTTTGCTGTTTCAATGATAAACAGTAATCATTGGAAAATGAAAACTGTCCAAGAATTTGCAATAAGTCCCAATCATTGGAAATGACTCAAAATTCAGGCAAAATCCAGTCCAGATCCAGAAACACTTATTGACTACCTATTGTATGCCAGACACCGTATTGGGTACCAGGAACACCAATACAAATAAACACAGTTTTTGTTATGGACACCCTAAGTCCAGATCAGATCAGCCATTATGAAGAAGCCTAAAATATGT